TCCCCAGGAAAATGGCTAAAGTATTGCAGGACAGATGTGGTGTGGGACAATGGTCTGTATTATGTCACTTACATTTTAAATAAATGCTGATTGGCCAGTAGCCAGGCAGGAAGTATAAGTGGGACAACTAGGCAGGAAGTAGAGGCGGGTCAATGAGAACAGGAGGATTCTGGGAAAAGGAAAGCTTGGTCTGCTGTCCTGACCCAGCCACAGAGCAAGCAAGATGTGACTGCCTTGCTGAATAAGGTACCAAGCCACATGGCTAGCATAGACAAGAATATGGGCTAATATAAGTTATAAGAGTTAATAAGAAGCCTGAGCTAATGTGCCAATCAGTTTATAACTAATGTAGACCTCTGTGTGATTTCTTTGGGACTTAAAGATTGCGGGAACCAGGCAGGACAGAAACCTCAGGCAACACAGATGCACATGGAATATGGTGTAGCTATTGCAATGATCGTGTTAGGACTACACCTGTCACAATGGAAGGAGTGTGCTTGATATAAAATGCAGAGTTTTAAGAGTGGGCAGAGGTGTAGTTCAGTGGCAAAGCAGGCCCTGGGCTCCATCCCCAGCATTATAAAAGCAAGTGAGAAAGAGATATTTTTGAAAAAATAAACACAATGCCAACTATTTATGTGCAACAAGTGTGTAAAAAGACAGATGTGTGAGCATGGGGCAAAAGGACTCAGGCAGGTGATTGATTGGTCACCTAAGCTAGAAAAGGCATGAACAACAGATGCCAGAAAAATATATGACAAAGGCAGAAAGGTGGGCTGAGAAGATGGTGAAATTCTTGCTACTTAAGCATGAGAAACTGAGTTCAGATCCCTATCCTCCACATAAAATCCTGAGTGTAGCAGCAGATGCCTGTAGTCCCAGCACTGGGAAATGGAAGCATGATGTGAGATTCCCCTCTGTATGCTGTCAATACCGTTGGTTAATAAAGAAACTGCTTTGGGCCTGTAGCAGAGCTATAGGGGAACAAAGCTAGGTGGGGAAAACTAAACTGAATGCTGGGAGGAAGAGGGCGGAGTCAGAGAGAAGCCATGTAGCCCTGCTGGAGCCAGATGGAACTTTACCTGGTAAGCCACTGCCATGTGGCGATACACAGATTAATAGAAATGGGTTAAATTAATATGTGAGAGTTAGCTAATAAGAAACTAGAGCTAATGGGCCAAGCAGTGATTTAATTAATACACTTTCTATGTGATTATTTCGGGTCTAAGCTAGCGGGGCATCTGGGAAGAACAAGCAGCTCCCTCTTCCAATACCACAATCCTTGGTTCTGGGTATATTATGAGGCAGAACAACATAGAAGGTCTGCCCTCCAAGGACACACCCACATGAGCCACTTCCTCTCCCTAGGCCCTATCCATCTTCTATAATTGCCTCTGCCTTTTGGTAATATTTTTCAAAGTCTGAATCCATCAATAGATTAACCATTGCTTAGGTCGTAGCCCTTGCAATCTGACTGACAATGCCCTCACAGACACATCAGAGAGAGAGAGCTGTGCTTTACTGATTCCTCTTGTGTCTCTCAATCCATTAAAGTTCACTAACAGTGCTAACCATCACAATCAAAGTCTTGACACTGGAATTACCCAACTTGGAGCATCCAGACAGTGTTCCTCCTGGTGTGGTCATGATTCCCTTGGGTTGTGATTTCATCTCATTCCAGCCCAGATCAGCTGGCGCTGTGGGGCTAGAGCCTCTAATCTCCTTTTTCGTCACCCAGTTTTCCTAAACCTCTCCCTCTTTCTCCCAGAGTTAGTGCCTCCTTCCCTCTGATTTGACTGTTGCACCCCCATGAACTCACAGGAGCAGTGGTTACTACGCAAAGCCTGTACAAGACTGGGCCCATCAGCCTCCATCATGGATGAGGAGAGGCTCAAAAGGCCTCACCCTTCCCTAAGGTGCTGTAGGCAGTTAAAGGTTGACGGTGGAAGAATCATATTCCTCAGTAGTGCAGCCACCCATAGGCCTTGTTCAAATAAGTGGATCCCCCACCCATTTTTCTTGCAGGCAACCCTGATTACGTGTAGTATGCCACAAATAAAAAGACATGGAAGAAGGTGAAGGACTTGAGGGGAGAAAGGAGTAGATAAAAAAGAATAAGGGGAACATAGTCAAAGTACATGAGTGTGTGTGTGTGTGTGTGTGTGTGTGTGTGTGTACAAGTGCACACACACATGTGTATGTGGTGTGTGTGTGTATGGAATTGCAAAAGAATATGTTTTTAAAGCACAAAAGCTGAAGTTTAAAGATGCACAATGTTTGTTAGAAATTATATGATGTTACGGTTACGAATAGATGCAGGGGAAGAATAAACACAGAATCTGTGCACTGGTTTCCTCTAGGGTGGGAGGGAACGGCTTACATCAAGGAAAGAATCATATCATGGTTTTCAATTGCTTGGGCAGTGTTTTGTTTCATCAACATGATGGCCCAAAGCTGCTCTTGAAGTCTCTTTCTGATGGAAATTACTTTATAACTGTTAAACCAACAAATAATAACCACCAGAAACACTCTCGCTGCTTATTATCAGGTACAAAGAGTGGGGAACAAAATTGGATATGCACTGTGCTCTCAATTTCATAAAAACAGAATAAATAAAAAGCAACTATAGGGCTTTTTTTTTCTCTCAGACCAGCAGACGAGAAGTCTGGGACAATTATTATTGCCCTTTTTTATACTTAATAAGTTATTGTAATTTATTTCCAAACTTTTCCACTGACTGAATATTGCTTTTGGTATCAAAATCAAATGTTACTTTTTTATTTAAAAAGATAAACTGGTTCACCTTGAGTACAGGAGCATGGTAATATTTTGCCTGAAATAGGGGGGAAATTATACAAACTGAGCTTGGGGATTACAGAACCCACTTGAAGTCCTCAGCTCACATCTGGCAACATTTTCTTATCTGTTAAAATTCTTAAATAACAACAACAACAACAATAATACTGAGTACCTCCTCCAGATTGCCTCAAGAGGCATTGTGGGAGGTGATGAGATGATGTATACCTTGCTTTTTTTCCCTCTCTCATTGTTATGACAAAATACTTGAAACAGACACATAATGGAGGAAGGATTTATTGTGATTCAGTTTCCTATGGGTCAGTCCATCATGGGGAGGGGGTGTTGCAACAGCTCCCATCTTTGTGGAGCGGGAGCAGAGTGGCACTCGGATAATAAGGGGCCGGGGCAGGGTGTAGTTCCCAAGAACAACGGTGTTGTCTGCCAACAAGAGCCCACCACTGATGTTTTACCAGCTCCCAGCAGGGCCATCCTGCTTTGAGTTCACCAAGGTCATCCATTGACCTTGATCAATTAGTCCACCATCGATCATCCATTAGGTCAAAGTCTCACAGTCGAGTCAGCTCTGGAAACACACTCACAAATACACTCAGAAGTGTGCTCCATTCATCTCTTAGGTTTGTCTTAATACAATCAAGTTTGCAATTGACTTCCTTTGGTGGTTTTGTGATCCACAGATGACCACTGGGCAAGATTGTGTAGTAGACACCAAAGGAGAAAAGATGAGCTCTCGGGGACAAGTGCATTGCTGGGAACACCCCAGGACAGGGTGACAAACTATCTGTACAGCCTAGAGAAGGGGGTATGATGGCCCCTGTTGCGGGACAGCATGATCCAAAAGGAAGAGACTGACATCACTGCTATGTGACAAGGAGAGATAAACTTTGACCTCAAGCAAACCAGAATAGACTCCTACAAACCAAGCAAACACCCTTCAGACGATGTAGGAATGACATGAAAGGAACAAAAGTGCAGATGTGAGCATTGGTTTCCTCTTGGTCTCTCCTCCCAGCACTCTTTATTTGTATCAAAGGGAGATAGGCCCACACCCCTCCAGAAAATGATGCTGACAGAACAGAGTGAAGCACAGATTCTGTATTCAGCCCTGTGTTGGCATTAGAAATGTCTGCGAGACTGGCAATGTAACAGGGCACCAGGCAGGCAAAGACAGTTGCCTGGAAAGCAGTGCAATGCTCCAAAGAAGCCACCATCGTGAGGCTATTTAGCACAGTGCCTATAAGACATAACTGATAAATGCTAGTAGCAAAGTGGCCTTGAACTCCTGCAGTGCCCTAAAGAAGGCTAGGAGGAAGGAGACTTGCTAGGCACCTGGAGTATTATTGGAGGTAGAAGTGTGCCAGGAAAATGAAGCTGCCATCCTCCGAACTCAAAGCTTTAGAATGCCTGACATGGGACTGAAGGGATGCCTCAGGAGTTAAGAGCATTGACTGCTCTTCTGGAGGGTCTGGATTCAATTCCCAGCAACTACAAGGCAACCCAGAACCATCTGTAACTACCATTCTACAGGATTCAATGCTCTCTTCTGGCTTCCGTGGGCACCAGACACACATGTGGTGTGGAACACATACATACATGTAGGCAAAGCACCCATGAACATAAAATAGGGAAAGAATTCCTGTCATTTTCATGACCATCCCATTGTGGGAATATTGGTATTATCATCCCCATTTTGCCAATGAGGAAACAGACATGGATCTATGTCATGCTTTGCCTGCAGTTGCACTATGGTAAAGTCAGAATTTTATTATTATTATTATTATTATTTGGTTTTTAAGTCAGGGTTTCTCTGTAGCTTTGGAGCCTGTCCTGGAACTAGTTCTTGTAGATCAAGCTGGACTCGAACTCACAGAGATCCTCCTGCCTCTGCCTCCCAGGTGCTGGGATTAAAGGTGTGCACCATCACTGCCTGGAAAGTCAGAATTTTAAATCAGTTGTCTGGGACACCTCTTTCTCTACAGGCTGTTGGGTGCTCCCAGGCAAGCTGGTTCTGAGAGCCCAGATGTGCACAGGCTTTCTGGAGCACAGGCTGAACACCTGCAGAGCTTTCTGTGAGAATCCCTGACAACATTCTGTGAGTGAACCTTCCTACAGAACAGACAGCCCAGAGCCTCCCCATGGCAATGCTGTGAGATTAATGAGTGATTTCCTCTTGTGTCTTTCAGCTCACAGCCCCACACTTCCCCGTGGTGATCAAGCTGGGACATGCCCATGCTGGCATGGGAAAGGTAAGGTATGAGAAGAGCTTTGCATACAGTCAATATAGCCACATCTTCCAGACTATCTGCTGCCCCTCCTACACTGGTGCAGTCCCCAGGACTCCCCTAGAC